TTGTCTTTACTTTTGACAGTTGAAATAGAATCTCTTACTCTGTAAACTCACACGTAACCAATGACTAATTTGTCCTTTTCCATACTGAGGTCCCTTACCTTTATTTTCATCTGTAAATACTGAACAAAAATATTAATTGAGGCAGTCAGCTAGACCTTTATCCTCGTCTATATACCTTATGTATCTAAAAATGTGTTGTCCCTTTTTTATTTTTTTTACTGACTGCTATTTTCTTTTCTGTGTGTGATTTGGAAGATCTTATAACTTGCTTAGGCTCTTTTTGCCTAATTTTATAGATCTGTCCATCTTCAGTTTTTTTTAATTTTTATAATTACTAAATGCTAAACTTGAGTTTTTTTACTATTTTGGCCACATCTGCGGCGTATCACAGTGGTTTTTTGAATGTTTTGCTTTTACTGACAAACATTTCTCTTGGACCCCATTTAAATTGCTCAAGTCTGATAAATCCTTTACACATTCTAATTTTAGAAAAGTGTTTTTCTAAAGTCTAAAACTTTTGTTTTTGTGTGGTGTGACTCAGTCACTGTTCTTATATTAAACCACACTGACTGATGATCACTGGATCCTAAACTTTCACCTACAGTAATATCTGATACCAAATCTCCATTTAGTCTAGTATGGCCTCTGTACGAGTTGGCTCCTCAACGATTTGTTTTAGAGACAACCCCAGTAGGGAGTTTAGAATATGTGTACTCCTGGCACAAGCAACTATTTTGGTTTTCCAGTTCACATCAGGAAGATTAAAGTCACCCATGATGTGTCTTTTTAGCTATTTCCTCAACTAGTAGATTATCTAATTTATCTATTTGTCTTGGGGGCCTATAAAGTACACCTACACCAGTTACTGTGTGATTACCAATTCTAACCTAACCCAAACGGACTCTAGGTTTGCCTCACTAACTTTTATTAGGCTAGATTTTATGCTATCCTTCACATACAAGGCCATCCCTCCCCCTTTCTTGCCTTCCCTATCTTTCCTATATAAAGAGTACCCTGGTATTGCTATGTCCCAGTCATTTTTCTCATACCATGTCTCAGTAACAGCGACTAAAGCTACCCTATCAGTTGCCATTATTGCCACAAGTTCATGGATCTTATTCCCTAAACTGCGCGCATTTGTAGACTTGACTCTAAGCTTATTTTAACACTTGCCGCAGGCACCTTCTGTTCTTGTTTTGGGGGGCATTGGATTGATCTTTTATTGCCCTTTAGCCCCCTCCCCCCTCCTAGTTTAAATACATCCTAGCAAAACCTCTGAACTGCTCACTGAGATCATTTGTTCCCTTTTGAGAAAGATGCAAACCATCCTTTTTGTACAGTTTATTTCCATTCCTAACAGAGCTACCATCAGAAATGAAACCAAATCCTTGCTCCCGACACCATTCACCAAGCCACAAATTAAAGTCCCTAATACACATCCGCCTGTCACTCTTATTGTTATGCACAGGCAGAACTTCAGGGAATGATAGTGTGGAAGCAACCTGCCATATATCATTGGCAAAAACACAAAAAACTTCCTTTACCTCTGAAACCTCATTGCAAGCCAAGTCATTTGTCCCTAGATGGACAAGTACATCCAATTCCCCTTCCTGCTTTGCTCGTTTTACAATATTACAGATACATCTCCTGTCTCTGTGAGCAGTAGGTCCGGGAAGACATCTCACAAGACCACTATTGTCCAGCTCCACACCTCTTATGATAGAATCCAACAACAACAACTGCTTTCTATTAGGTCTCCCCATTGTTTCCAAGCCTGTCACCATAATAACTGGTCTCCATAACACCATTACACTCTGAAAGTGCTGAAAATGAATTCTGTAGAGCAACAGACTGTGCAATATGCCTTTTATCCACAACTCTAAGTCTACCAGATCCTACAGTAATCCATCTGTTATTCCCAAAACGTCTCTGCGGCAGTTCCAGCCTGAGTTTGTTTAGTAGATAATTTACAAATCTCAGACTTCAAAACTACAATCTCCTGCTGCAATATAGACAACTGTCTACAGATTATACAGCATCCAAATCTCCAAAAAGTGGAATGTGAAACAAATTCATAACTATTACACCGAATTAAGTCTGCCATTTTAATGAGGTGAATAATTTAAAAACAAGTCTTTTTTTGTCCTCTGTATACCTCAGATTACCTACAGAATATGAATACAAAAAACTGAAATAATTTCTGGAGAAAGAGGTAAATAGGGAAACGATGGTACAGTATGTCTAAATCTTATAAATGGTGGAGAAAAGGCCAAATGTAGCAAACTCACATGGCTTAGAGCCTGGGGAGGATAGGTTCAAGTCACACACGCAGGGGTATTTAAAGACAATACCATTCTTCTTCTATAGTGGCATCCAGGTACTCAGAGAGGAGAAAAAAATGGAACAAAGTCCTAGTGTATTATCCTTCTAAATATCAATTTAGAATGGCACAAATACTTCCTCACCTTACGGAGAGGCATAGGTAACTGGGCTCAGTGTTTGGCACTGTGCCTTTAAGAAGGCACAACTCTTTAAAAGTCCTTGCTGTATTTTATACATATATGTTTGCTTATAAATAAAATGTTTATTTTTACTGAGTCCTATGAGCTGCAGCATCTTCCTTCTTCTTGACCTCCATCAAATCGCTGCTTCCTAGTACTGGCGAGCACCATAACCACCGTAAACCCCACAAACCGCTCAGCTTGGTTGGGGTCTCGCCGTCCTCCACCCACCCTGGACCCAAGACCCAGCTTCCAGTAGACCTCTCCTAGCTCAGAGCATAGCAGGAACAGCTCTTATAAGAGCTAAGGATTATACTCCAGGGAGTATTGTGATCTAGCAATCCCCATGAGCCAAGACTTCATGAAGGGGTAAACTAATCTCTTTAATGGGAGTCACACTTGGCCTTTTATGACAATCCCCAGACAAGGGGTACGGCCATATGGACCTTGTTGGGGACTCCAAAGACAGACCAATAAGAACAGTGATTAAATGCACGGCACTCCCATACACAGCACACAATCCCTCTTGGATTAGAATTAGTACAGTTACTGATCCTATTATCTGCAAGCACAGAACACTTAACACCCCCAAAAGTACACAAAAAAAAATACATAAAATCCCACAAATGTTACATCCCATGTAGCCTTGATATGGGTGACCAACATATCCCCCAAAAAATTACCCAGATCACTTCATGGATTCAGAAATTTGGGGGAAAGTCCTAGTTTTTAAACAGACTGCAGACATGGTCCCATAGCGGAAAATAGGCCATAGAATTGTGGCTGCTGGAGGACTAACTGGGAACCGCAAGGTTTTCATGCCTAAATTGTTCCAGGGCATCTGTGGCTAAGTCACCCTGAAGTCTATTTGCCTTTTGGTCCATGTGAACAAGATGGCCACCACCTCATGGTCATCTATAGGTATTGTGGCCACCCAGACGAACACTTAGAACACTGCGGTGGAAATTGCAACAATCAATTGATCTTAAGCTCCAGGGTAGTCTCCAGTTCGTGCGGCTGTTCAGTAAACTAAAGCATATAGTCCCAGTTGCATGAACAGAGCCTGTTTAAAGTAGTTTAGCCAGGTCTATTGCAGGGGCCATAGTCACAGGGTAGGAGGCTGGCAGACAGGCCCCTCCAAAAACCAGCGGTTGTTAATTTCGCCACAGTATTTAAGTGGCAGGGAAGGGGTTAAGATTTATTTTAAAGGATTTTATGCACACTTTTTTTACACAGGGAGAAAAGTCAGGACTGATCAGTCTCCCTGCACATCACACGGACCTTGGAAGCACAGGGAGGTGGATCAGGAATCCCTGCAGCACATGTACTTACTGACAACATGTCAGAATGATCACAGCGCGATCGAGTGCTCCCGGCATGCCTTGAGTATCAAGGCATGCCGGATGAGTACTAACCCTGCGATCTGTAGTTAACTTTAGTTAGTGATGGAAATTCTGTCATGTGTCCTTAACAAAGCATGACAGAAAATTTCCATTTACTGTTGAGAAGGTGTTAACATGGTTAGTAATAGAAGGGAGAATTGACCAGAGAAAACATTAGAGGAAATAGAGTACCCTGGATAACCGGTTGAGAGATCACTGGGGTTAATAGAAATGGGTTAACCAAAGTCTAAATGGCCCTGTACCAAAATGGTACTGTATTCATAAGGTCTGGATTTTACAAAGCCGGATCCAGAGGGTTGAATTTGGTCAGGATTTTAGCCGACAGCTTGAGTTTGTATCAAATCAGTTAAATTCGGGTCAGGATGTACCTATAGATCCACTGGCTGTAAAAGCAGCCAGCAAGTAGTAATACTTGGAAGTTGGTCAATGATGGGCAGTTGGCTTTCCAGTCATACCACCATAATTTCTTGCTGTAATTGGAACCACAAGTATTTCCTCAGGGTTTTGAAAGTCAGCAGATCGGTCAGAAGCATTTGTGTATAATCAGAAGAGACTCGGCAAAAAGGGTTTATTTGCAAATTAGTTCATAAGATGTTGGTGGCACTAAAAGCTTTCCATGAATTAAGTTATGGCATTGGCTGATTTGTGCCGCTAGTATGAGCCGAGCAAGACAAGGTGATCCCCAGCTGCTAGTAACCCCTTTGTCTCTGCTGGTACACATTGAGTGACACCAAGAATTTAGAGGTATACTGTGACATTCCTTTCAAATACAATAAAGGTCATGTCCGACTAGATGGCACCCAGAGCATTATTTCTTCCAGTTACCTCTAGTCAGTATTGAAGCGTGTACCAAACATCTAGCTTTGAATTAGTGTAGTGTAGAGACTGGCAAGTGGCAGACGTTACCATAGCATAAAATACAATGACCCTTCCTGTCAGCGTGTGGATTACAGGATAGAATACAGACACCAATAATGCTAGAGTATTTATTGAGGATATTTCACGTCACAAGTCATGTAGTCTTTACATGTTTGCTACCAACAAAATTAAACCACAATACTGATCTCAGGAATATGGAGCACATGTAAGATTTAAATTATATCTTGAGTTTATGAAGAGAAAGAGCAGATGGTTTGTAGTTCTCTTGGGAGACCATCAGATCAAAACAACTGGATCCTTTCCATATTCCCTCTATGGTAGTTTCATTACCCAACATGGTTTTGACCCTGGCACGGTAAGGCACATCCATTTCTCCCTTTGTGATGGATGCAGTGACACGTACGCTGGTGTGTGGCTCCAATGTGACCTCAGTTGTACCGGAGAATAATGTCTGTAGGGGGAAACAGAAAGAAACCTTGTAAGATAGCATAACAGTCTTTATTAACAGCAATAAGGATCATTACTATGAGGATTTGGAGTCAGTTTGGTAGGCAAGCCCTGCCACGAACAAAAACCATGAGACCACTAGCCATGTGTCACCATATGGTCTTAGCAGAATGATCTGGTTAGTGATCAGAAGACAAAGCATTATAGGAGCAAAGTCCAGCTCTAGAATGGAAAAGAGGATTAGGCATATCCATTTATGCAATACATTGAGCTTGAACTCCATAGTGAAATTACAGGGTTATTAATTACAAAGCCAGGAAGTTATAGGCCATAAGGATCCATTAAAGATTCAATTTGGCCTTGGACCTTCATTAACTGAACAATGGATAGGAGAATATTGGCTGAAGGTCTCTGAACTCTGCTCTCTCCACAAGGGTCTTTCCAAGCACAACATATGCATTTTTAGTTTGTGGCCTACTATTTTGTCATGCCTGTATGCATTTAAAGCTAAAATACAGTTCCCGGTGGTTTGCTTCTTCCCTGCCTCCTCAACACCTCTTCATTTTAAGATTTGTGAGCCATAACATAGCAGTTACAGTATGTCACTCTCTGCCCCTATAAGCAGAGGCAGTGCAAGGCTCTTTAGCTACACAGGTGAAGATGCATTGTACTCCCCCAAAAAAAAAAAAATAAAAAAAAAATTTTTATTTCAGAGCAAAACACACATGGATAAAACAGTGGTATGCTAACATGTGGTAAGATACCAGTACTATGTAATTATCTGACTCCACCTGCAGAATGGAGTGTTATAACTACATATTCTTTAATTAAGATTCCTCAATTATGGGATCTGATCGTGATTTATCCATGTATGTATCCTGCTATTAATATTTTAATTTATATTAAATAAAACCAGTATAATTACCAGTTAGATTTTTTCATCAGATGATTAGGTAGTCCCAGGAACTTGAATGCGAGTATGATTGGTTGTATGGAGGTGTGTAAGTAATAAAGAGTGATGTTTGTTAGAAAGGAATAGTAAAATTCTAAGTGTCTGAGAGTTGAGTAGTAGTCCCAGAGTGTCCTGAATCTCTACACTCCCTCTCTTCCCTTTGTCCTAACTTTTAAAGGGCCAGACACACTGTACGTCATTAGTTGGTAAAACCAGTAGGATACTGGTCAACCTGCAGATTGCAGTTTAGATTTTTGGTCATAGAGGGCACTCTCACCTCACTAAGCCTTCCTATCCAGGAAAGAGTTAACTTTTCCTGATGAAAATTGAAATCATTTGGCTTATCTAAAATGACTACCATAACTTAAATTTACTGTCAGTTCAAAGCGTTTTTGGATTTTCTCTAGACAGTGCGTTGACAATTCCTGTTGTAACTTCTAAAGTTGACAGATCTAAACTCAATTTTACCCTTTACTTACAATGGGACCTTGTAAGATTTAGAATGTAAAATTAGTGTGTGTTCTCAATTATTTCTATTCCATTAACATTTAAACAGAGAATTCCATCCCCTGCTTCATTGCTTATCACTTGGCTTGTTTACATAATGCATTCCTTAGCTCAGGCTAGTTACAGAAAGGAAAGAAAGTTGTGTGTCTTGCCTGAAATCCAAAATGGAGTCTGCTCTGTTCTGAGTGACTGGCAAGATACACTTTTACTTTCTATCTTAGCACAAAAAAGTCTGCCGATATAAATCTCCTGACAGTATGTATCCTCCCAGCCCCTTTGGCTCATTCCCCACCAGGCCCTCTGTGTGGCACTTTCCCTTCCATTTGGTGTGGGTGTGTCTTTCCTCTCAAGCATCATTTCAGGCACACAGAAACACAAAGGCACAGTTACAACATTTTTCAACCTGGTCCCTGGGGTGCATACTGTTCGGGTCTGTGGAGTCCTGTCTTGCAGCCCAATCTCATCATTGGGCACCAGCTGCGCAGCGTGGTACACAGGGATAGGAGGTCATTCATCATTGAGGGGAGTGCAGTTCGCCTTCCTCCTGTCGGTCAGCCTGACATTGTGCCGACCCTGCCTATAAGATTCTATCCAAGATCTCAGTAAAGGTTTGTGAGTTGCCAAGCTAGGCATACGAGTAAGGAGCCGTTAACTGAACTAACATTCCAGAAGCCTCTCTGATCAAGAAGTCCCATTATAAATAGGATCTGAGTATCCAAACTGGGAGCCACATCCTCATCTCATCTTTGTTTGCTTCCAGGGGGAGTAATTACAAGTCAGAAACCCCACATGCATTTTGTCAGCTATTGCTCCTTTAGCCTTGGCAAACCCTACGAGCACCTCAAACAGTAGTTTAGACTGATTGAATTATGCCCTTTGATTTTTAATGTTTTGTTAATAAGCTCCTAGAGTAACAAGCCAAATTCAGTTCAATGCCCGCTGGGGAGTCTGGGAGGAGAGCAGTGGAAGTCATGCCTCCACCTGACATCAGGACAGGCCGGCCGACTTCGATTGCTGCCGTGTTATGACTGCAGGGAGACAGGTAATGAGAAAAACCCTGAGTGCCCAGCCAGAGGTAAGTGATTTGGATTTGTGTGCCCCTGCTCAAGACATGGTGTAACCATCTGTAAGGCTGGATATTTCTCAGGTCTCAAATGGCCATGGACTAGTCACCAGTTTTCTGCTTATCCCACAGATCTGGGGGAAAACGCCTGTTAGAAATAACAGTGTATTTCAATCATGCCTTGCATCCAATACCTCACAGCAGAGAGTATGTTAGGTTCAGTCTAGGGTGATGCCAGTTGCAGTTGGCATAGTTTAATTTGCAAACCAAGCAGTTCCAACACAATTCTGTATGTTGGCGTAGATAAGCAAGCCTGCTCAGCACAACTCAGGGTGCTATTTAGTACATGCTTTGCAAGCAAGATAGGCCCCCCACTAGGCATTTTAAATACATTGTACAGAAACAGCTTCAATGTCTGTAACCAAAGTATATTTTTATACATACCTCAGCAATAAAACTGAGCCCAACACCATCTGATTGGATAGAGACTAAAAGTACATAACACTTGTGCTATGCAATCAAATCTTTGGAGAGGTTACTCTGAACTTGTGTGTCAGTTCAGGGTTGCCTTCCCAGCACTGGTAAGAGATCGCAGGACTAACCAAAGACTGCTAAATTACATAGAAGTCCATGGCAAAAAGTGGTCAATTAGAGAGAGATCTAGATTTTTGTTCTTCTATATACCCAGTCCCATGTCCATTTACCTCTATTTCATTGGTTTTGGTAAAGTTCCAGGTATGAGATGTAGTAGTGTTGACTGAAATCTTCCCCCCTGTTTGAGCTACGTACGGGACTCCAGCTTTAAAAGTCAGCTCCACACCAGCCTGCACTGTGAATCCATGTTCCTCGCTGAAAGTGCTGCTTGATTTAACAGTTTTAGAAACCCTAGCATGAAAGAACAGAAACCGATAAGGAGACTGGTTTAGTTTGATTATAAAAAGAAAAGGCTGGTGGACTTTGAGAATGACCAACATTTTAAACAATGTTCTTTTATGAACATATTTCACCAAGTTAGACTTGGCTTCACCATTTATACAGAGAGGTCCTGTGCGGCAGCATTGACCATAGTCAATCTCTCCCCCCCTCCCAATACTTACAATAAAACCAGAGAAAAGAGTTACCTGCACACAATCACTATGCATATTCAATAACTGGAGGTTATTAGTATCACTCCAATGGCCATTAGGTTGAAGCTCACCTGCCATGTCAAGGCAAACCTTTGAGTTCTACACCAACATGCCATCTAGTTGCCTTCAGATTATATATAAATCTGAGATGGTATTTATCTAAACCCCTACATACTTATTAACCCTTAATAGGGAACACATGGGTGGGTGGCAGCATTGTAGAGTTAAAGCAGATACATTTCCCAGAGCTGGCCACAAACAGACAGCAATAACTCCCACAGAATTACCAGGGCTCAGAAGTAAACAGCCCTACTAGCCTCAAGTAGAGGAGGAACAAAAAAGAAACCTGCATTTTTAATGTACCCCAATCCCCCCAATATGGAAACTATCCCTCCACTCATGGTATGGATTATCCACACTATGTAATGTTAGTGAATAAGCCCCTAGACCAAAAAGCCAAGTTCTGTTCAGTGTATTTGTTTACATGCTTGGACTTTATGCATTCTTGCCACACCATCCCCTTTGCTGCTGATCTGCCTTGTAACAGCATTAAAACCCAAACTAATCATCCCCTTTAACCACTATATATGAGGACCAGGTGTAACCGATTGGATAAAGAATAAAAGTACACAATAAGCTGTGATATGCAATAAGATCTTTAGAGAAGTTACTATGAACAACTTGGGACTGTCACTTCATGATGAACCCCAACGCTGGAAAATGATTGTAGGACAAGACAGATATTACATAGAGGTCCATGGCAAGGTAGTAATTCTTTAAAGAGATCTACATTTTGTTCCAACACCCATTTTAGTAGGGGATAGATGCTGAAGTCTATAAGTGGAATACAAGATAGGAGAAAAGAACCTCTGAGCTGAGTGACTGCCTTCTAAATGGTGCTCTGAGAGAACCTGCATGCGATCCTTAGTCAGGCATCACAAGCCCGAATGGCACAGCCCAAACACTCACTATCTACCCAGAGGCACTCCAGCAAATGCTCAGCTGGAAAATTGGGGGCCCTGACTAAATTCTTCCATGATAATGCAGACTATCCCAGGCCCCAACATGGCGCCAGAGTCCTTGCAGGATGGATCAGCACCATGGAGCCCAGAAGGTGCCCACTATACCACAGATTGAGATTACAGAAGCCTTCTGCAACTTCCCTTCACAGCATTATCTGGCCGCAATGCTGGAGATGTCATCCCAGATAAAGCTGGAGCCATGTTGAAGACAGGGAGTACCTTAGAGGATGACAGATATCCTCTCCACCCACACAGCAAATGCAGAGTTCAATAGAGGCCCAAGATACTTACATATCCCTGGATGACAGAACATGGGCAGGAGCAACAACTTGCACATTAAATGCCTCCCCAAACAAAAGCCAAGAGAATCTGACAGCAACACTGAACCTTTTAACCTGATTTTAGGCAGAGCTCCAAATACACAGGTGTTGTATAGACAGGGCACACAGAGCCCTAAGGCGAACAGCCCCCACTCAGTAAGTGATATCTTGGGCTGTATCCATTACTTCTCCCTGGGCAAACAGACCTCACAACCATTACTGTTCCATAATGCCCAAATCAAAGTCTACCCAGATATATCCTGTGCTATGCTTCAAGCAAGGTGGGCATTAAGGCCCATCACCAACCAAGATTGAGAATCTCAGATACAGATGGGTATTTCCCTTTGCCTTAAGCACAACTCACAAGGTCACTTCACACTGGCATCTGTTCAGGATGTGTCTTTCACCCACCACAGCCCTGGCTCAAACAACTCACTGACAAACATTGTCCAAGAGAGGAACAACCAGAGAACTGCCAAGTCAGATGAGCAAGAAGTGCCCAATCCTCTACATAAACCCTACAGACTGAGCAGACTCCTGCCACCAGAGATTGGACTCCTACAGAGCAATCTTTGTGCTTTTTATTTTTTTTTTTAGTGGTCAGATTTGTGAGAGCCCAGAAGATTTGATATCTACCCCCTACTCCAATTCAGGAGTCACAGCCCCAGGAACTTGCTGCTGGCACACATCCCTCTCCAATGGATACCCATACAGCCATCCGCCAGAGATAGCGTTCCCCTGGGCAGCCATGCTTCTAGTCTCATAGCTCCCAGGTTTGAGAGTGACAGTGACTAACTCCATTAGGAGCAGGTATAATTATTCCTGACACCAGGATCAAAGACTGTATGCAGGCAGGTTTGGGAGTCAAATGCACCTTGGTGGGGATTCGGTTACATGAACTGGTGGCCATCCAGGGTAAGCATGCACCACTCATTCCCTTGCGGTCTGCAGTTTTCACACTTTTTTTTTTTTTTTTTTTTAAAACAAAGTGTGAACGGTCTAAGAAGATGTTCTAAATGAAGTACCGGGTGGTCCAGCACATGGAGCTCTGTGCGCCCCTGGGTGGTAAAATATATTTAAAGGTTTTACAGTCAAAACTACAGAGAGGGAAAGCTTAAAGGAATACATAAAATTCAGCAATTCACAGTTAGGGAGCAGGCCCGCCACAATGTAGATTGTTAGCTGCATGTACAGTCCTCAACCCATTCCAAGTATCTATAAACATAGAACTATGGTCTTTTCAGGTCGTCTCCCTAAACATACAAGAACTCAATACACCCAAAAGACGTTCTCTAGCCTCAATGGAGTTCCACAAACTGAAGGCAGATGTGGTATTTGTCCAGGAGATGCACTTTAGAGAAAGTGCTGCACACACATTCTGCAACAGAAAATACCCACATTGTTACTTTACTGGAACCAAATCATGAGTAGCCATCCTCATAGCAGCCCGTGTAGCCTTTACTTACATCTCCCACTTCAGATGGCAAGGGAAGACACATTATGTGAAAGGTCAGATAGGGAAAAACTGCCACGTTTGCCAACCTATACCTCCTAAATAGGAAACAATGTTTAGTGCGAAGGAAAAGCCTGAGGGCCATTGAATCCTTTCAAGAGGGTCTTTTAGTCATGGGTGGTGACATAGGTATCTCACTAGACACCACAATGTACCAATCAGCTAGAAAACAGATCAACTCCTTACTAGACTCAGCACAGCTCTTTGACAGCTGGTGCATACTCCACCAGGGATTACTCCTATGAGTCACATGTCACAGGATTATATTCTAGGCCAGACATGCTCTTCATACCAGATTTCTGCACTTAAAGAAATGTCATTATGGTCCGATTACCTGGTCATCCCCTCACTCCCACCCATTCCAATGGAAGCTCAGTGACACCAATGTTATCTCCCAAGTAGATGATCCCTTGAAGCACTAGTTCATTGAAAATACACTCCCTCGGTCACCTACAATTTCATGGAAGGCACAAAAAGGCAGTAGCCAGAGGATACCTCATTGCTGCCAAAAAAAATATAAACAAATGACCAACCTGATCCTAAACATGAGGAACCTGGAAGATCAAACAAACTCAGTCACTGGCCATTTACAAAAAATGGGTTTCCAAGAGATCCTCACTGCAACAACTACTCAAATAAAAAAAAATAAAAAGTTAATATTGACAAAACATAACTTACTCTCACAGAGGCAAATGTGGCAGACTCCAAGCCTAAATATTGCAGAATACCAGACAAACTGCATTCATCTCTAAAATCAAAACAAAGGCAGGTTTCATCTCACAACCTTCCAGATATACTACCTATTCCATGAATTCTACTCCTCACTCTAACCTTAAACCCCAGACACGATATTGAATAACTTACAGCCCTAGACCTTTACTTAACGTGGACCTAAACATTTTCACCAAGATCCTGGCCACAAGGCTACGCCCTCTTGCAGGGCGTAGTCCAACCTAACCAGGTGGGCTTCGTGCTGGGACCAGTCAAAATAAGCTTTATCCATATAGCCAGACTCTCCCGTGCACCCAGTCTATCCATTGACGCGGAAAAAGCATTAACAGGGTGGACTGTTCCTGCTTTCCCACACCTCAGAGCCATGTGGTTTGGCCAAAAACAGATAAACACATACTCTGAATTGCCTTGTTTCTTTTGCCTGTGGATGTGAGTTTCCCCTCTTTCCTATTCCTTTTTCTATGGATTGGACTAAAATCCTGCACTAAACCTTTTGACCAATTGGGGCTCTGTGGCGCATGGACCCCTGTGCACTGGACCACCCAGGCACCTCAGTTAGAACGTTTACTTAAAATGTTCACGCCTCACTAATGAGGTGTGAAAACCACAGACCACAAAGGAATGAGCGGTGTGTGCTTCCCTTGAGTGGTCAGTTTGTATTGCTGAACGCCCACCGGGGAGCATTTGTCTCCTGAACAGTGCTGGACCACCTTCATGCTCCAATTAGAACATTCACCTCACTAACAAGGTGTGAAAACTGCCGGGGAATGAGCAGTGTGATGCCCCTGGGTGGCCGCTGGTTCGTATTACCAAACACCCTGTGCACGGTGACTTTGATCCCGTGTCAGGGTCACCCTACCCGTGTGGTGCTGGATGGAGACCCCCTGTGGGGGTCTGTGCCTAAAAAGCTGTGTGCCCAACAAAAATTGTTAAGTATCCTGAAACGGTCTTGTCCTGTTACTCAGGAAGTGGGTCTGACCTAATCTAAAAAAGGGGATAACCATCCAAGTTACCCAGGTCGCACTAGCCACATACTCCACCCCAACAGCCAGAGAGAGTCAAATGGTCAACTCTGATTCTATCCCTATTAGTATGGGTATGAGACAGGGGTGTCCCCCTCTCACCCACCCATTCATTCTATTTATATGCATACTAGAACCCTTCCGGCAGGGCAACAACCCCCAATATACAGGGGATAAAATTAAATACACAAAAGTTCAAATTAGCAGATTTGCTGATGGCCTACTTTTTACTATAACTGACCCTATGGCTTCAATGCCCCATCTACTAGATGAACTCTCCCTCTACAATAAGTTCTCTTAACTTTAGTAAATTTTACTTAGCACGAGATACTGCCCATCCATGTAAATCCCCAGTTGAAATCAACACTGCAACAATTATACCCATTCGCTTGGGCAGAGACAGCAGTAAAGTACCTCGAGGTCCAGCTCCCAAGGGATCTCCACCAACAATAAAGATATACCTCACACAAACCAATGTTTGGATGGCTGTCGTACCCATATCCTAAAAATGGGCACCCTATCAAAGACCTTGCATCTCCTCCAAACCCTCCCCATAATACAACCCAACACTATCAAACGTATGTTTAGCAAATTCATACGCTAGTGTAGACATTCGACTTCCTCTAAAAACACCAATGCGGCTGAAATTACAAGGTGGACTGCCTCCGACATTAAAACTTACCACAAGGTAAATTCTGGACAAAGGCTGTATAGGGATCAGTCATCTTATAGTTGATCAAATAGATGTTACTGGCACCTGGGACTGGCAATAATCCGACCCGTCATGTTCATAGCTGTTAAGTTAGACTAGTTGTATTTCTACCACCCCCCCAATACAGCACACTAAGCACAAGATGTGCATACCAGGGTGAGTGAAGAGTGAAGAGTGAAGAGTGAAGATGCAATATAAAAATACCAGCAAATGCATATAAACACAAGGCATTTTCACATATCCCAGAGCTCTCCAGAAAGGATCTGCACATTGACTACTTGGGATAGGCAAAGCAAGGATCTCATTTTGGGAGGTGTATGTTACTGGTGATGGCATGTTCACTGTTACTGGCATGCATAGCCTTTATGGGTTAAATATTGGCCTAGGACACCATCCCTATTTAGAATTACTCATTCTGGAAGTCAGTGTCTGGATACTGACACTTATGTGGTCTACCCGAGGGTTTACTTACGTAAAGAGATGTTTGAGAGGAGTATCACTGGAGTTTCTGTAGATTTGTTTTTCTAGCACTGAATCGCCTTGGGATACAATTTTACCATCATCTGGAAGGAATTCAAGGCTCTCAATACTGGAGATGATTTTGTCACAGGTGAAAGCAAAGAAGAGGCCTGCGCTATAGCCCCAGCCCATGGACTGAGCATCTTTTTGAGGAAAGTTGGAATGTACAGCTTGAGATGACCATTTATACATATATCCTGTGCTGTCATTGACACACCAGAATGATCCATCAGGACTAAAAGCCATGAAGTGAGTGAGCTGGAACCAGTTTTCATTGCCAACAGGTATGCATGTCGCAAACCAGTCATCCTTGGAGTCTGTTGGGGGGGTTTCTCTTCACAAGACGGCCATCTGATTTCACTGCATACAGAATGCCTTGAGGATCAAAGAAGAGGGCCCTTAATGAGTTCCACATACCAGACCCTATTTTGGTGGCTTGACGATAAAGCCAGGGCATGTTTGCATTGGTCGGAGCAGGACCCTTGTAGATATCCCCTTTGCCTGTTACTGCATACAAGACACCATTGGGATCAAAGAGTATAAATCTGAAGTTGCTCCAGTAAACTTTACCCACTTTTTTTGCAACATTGAACCAGTCCAGGCCTTGCTGTGAAGGTATATTTCCTCTGTACACATCTCCACGACGGACAGCAAACAGTTCCCCTTCAGGACTAAAGAAAACCCAGGAGGCATTTGCTAGTATCCCTAGAGGAACTGCTCTCGCCATGTAGTTGTCCTCTTCCTGACTGGGTGGTAAGCCAGCTCCAGCAACATTCCATCCTGGTTACAATGAAGAGGAGGGTTTCTGAAAGTCAAGGGGGAACAGATGTTAGACCTAAACTACAGCAATAATTTGTCGTCATTTAACTTTAACACACTAGACAGCAGGGTAATCCTTAAATCCTGGGCAGTTTGGGTGTCCTTGAGGACTGGGTTGAGAACCCCTGCTCTAGAAGTTCTAATAACTCATAGAATTCATATTTATTATTTTTCAATCCATCTATTACTTCCCATGATTTGGGCAGCCCTAACAACACCTCCCCTGACCAAGATGTACACAGCAAACATGAAAAGGAAGTAACCAGAGACTTTTGTAGGAAACATCTTGTTTTGGAGGTGTGAGCTTGAGATTTTCCATTAAAGGGACTCTGGCACTGCAGGTCCCCTCTCCCTCCCACCACCCATCCCTGGTAGCTGAAGGGGTGAAAACCCTTCAGGTCACTTAACCGAGACCCCACCGATGTCCCTCAGCGATGGTTTCTGCTCGCCACCACTCTGCCCAGTGATTATGTCAGCCGGTGGGCAAGACTGATCCCGCCCGCGAAACCTAATGCACAAGCTCTCCATAGCAAACCATTGAAAATGCTTTTCAATGCTTTCCTATGGGGAATTGAGCAACGCTGGAGGGCCTCTCACAGCGTGAGGATGTCCAGCAATGCTCTAGCACAGGTTTCCTGTGCTATGGACACGATAGATAGATAAAAATATTTACAGTTGCAGGGTTTAGGGTAGTGGGAGTTGGCACACAGACCACTCCAATGGGCAGAAGTGGTCTGGGTGCCTGGAGTGTCCCTTTAAATGATCTGTCTACAGAGAACATGAGAAGGCAGACTGCTCTAGCAGAGAACATCTGCCACTCACATTAGCTATAGCCAACAGAAATGGATTACCTCAGCCAGGCTGACTGCTGGGGAAGGGGTTTCTGCAGAGATGTATCGAAGGGCAAGTATAAGTCAAGGAAATTAGAATGCAAAGGATTTATTTTCATATATACTGACTTACATATCACTTTCTTATGCATTCCACACCAAATCCAAGAGGAACACCTAACTACTGTCGTATCCCTAGAAATGGACAGAATAAAAGAGGGGGATTTAACAAAAAAAAAAAAAAGAAAAAAAAAAAAAAAGGAGAGCTGAACCCTGCTGATCTAGCCAGCTGAGAGAAGCAGTAATAAAAATGTAGCTTCCTATTCCTGCCTCCACACATCGCCACCTACGGGTGGCAGTAGTCTTAATATGAGGGAAAAAAAAAAAAACCCCAACACCCCACACACAGATTTTCTAATAGGTCTGCAATACCAGCACCACCAAGTGCCAGCTAGTCCAGTAAGATACTAACCAGGTGACAGCCATAATACGGTGCACAATAGCATGTTTCCAAGTGTGTGTATGAGAGATGATACCATGACTGCATTTCTCTCACCACTGTCCTAGAGTCTAGCCCGGGAGATACCAGCCTTTGCAATACTGGCACAAGACAACCCCAAACAACACTGGTCAGAAATAATGACTGACTAAACATCCAGATCAAAGTATTTAAAAATAATACAAGAGAGTGAGCTCCTATATACAGGGATCACTTACCTGGTTTATCCATTATCACAGAGATCAGAATACAAACTCCCAAATCTCTAGCGTTCCAGCAGGAATTCCTCGTGTTTGTGTAGATAAGGAAATGTCTCTTGCTATCTCTGTACAAGGTCAATATCCCTAGTGCATTAGCTTTATAGCCAGCACCCCTCCCAAAACACAGCTGTACCTGATTTAATCAGCATGGTTACCATACTCTGTGCTTATCTGGTAAAGGAAGGGTTAACTCTATCATTATACATGTGATCACCCAATAATTGATCGATTAAAGTACAACAAAGAATATGGTACTTTTTTTCTCTGTAGGGATATAGGGGACATCCATCAAATATATATTTCTTTGCAGTCACTTTCCGTTTTTATTTTGTATTGCTTTAGAGGGTTTCCTCATTCATCCTACATTCTATTTGTGTTTTCCATATAAGCTGCCCTGCTTTCTGAAGTCTGTTAGAGATGTAGGGGTTTATTCACTAAATAGTGAGGAACTTTCCTGTTATCTGCTCTCCACAGCTCGGTAATTATTATTATTATTATTATTATTATTATGATATTTATAGAGCTCCGTCAAATTCCGCAGCGCTTTACAAATGGGTGGACAAACAGACATGTAGTTGTAACCAGACAAGTTGGACACACAGGAACAGAGGGGTTGAGGGCCCTGCTCAATGAGCTTACATGCTAGAGGGAGTGGGGTAAAATGACACAAAAAGGTAAGGATAGTAATCATTGGTACTCCTTCAACATCGTTATCTGAACTTCTCCCTCGTCATCGGAACTCCTCATCCCTTCTCATTGGAACTCCTCCTCTCCCGTCATTGAAAATAGCCCCCCTATGGGATCACTGACTCTGAAAAGGCTGCTCGGCAAGGTTCTGCGAGGTAAGTAAAGTTTATGATATTTTATGCTGATCGATTCTAACTTATGTGTAAGTAATAAATAAATTTTTTACTTTGTACACATTTCTCCATTTTTCATTTTGGATGTATTTCTATCTTTTTGTATCATTGATACCTGGAAGTCCATATATTGAAGTAAGAACATTGCCTGAGAGCTACATGGATTTTTTATACGCCTTATCTATTCAGTCAAAGTGTGAGTGATCCATTTGGCAAATATACATACTGTAGAAGCTGCATACGGAGTTGCACTATGTTATTTTTTGTTTCCCTATAGTTGGATTGACCCCAATTTGTGTATTTAAAGGTAAGTAAAGTTACTGTCACGCTTAGCTTATAGTTAGGGACTTCACTACAGCACTGGGGCATGGGATATTTAGGTGTGAATTAAAATGAGGGTTCTAGGCTAAAAATAGCATACATTTAGGGTAGGGTTTGTATAGGGTTAGTTGGTAAAGGGTCTAAGTATCTAAGATTCTAAAATAAATTCAGACAATAGAACAATGAAGCATTAATGATCAGGACTAATATGTGCATCTATTTTTAGTTCTCTTTCTGGAGTCGCACTGTATGTTTAAAAATTATTATAAGCAAAAATTTGAAATTTTTTTAAAATTTTCTCCATTTTTCTTTTTCTTTTAAAAAACCCAATAGATATTATGTATGGGGGCAAGGCTTAAATTACAGTGGAACAGACACAGCACAAATTCTAGGTTTAGTTTTGGTTCAGTAGTTAGGCAATTGCCTCCATCCTTAAAGGGACTCTGTAGGCAACAAGACCACTTCATCTCATTGAAGTGGTCAAGGTGCAATGTCCCTGCCCCCCTTAGTCCTGCATTGTTTACATAGCAGTACTAAGGCAGTCTCTAGTGGCTGTCTACCAAATAGTCACTAGAGACGCTTCCAGGAGTTTAATGGACTTTGAGTCCCCTAAATGATGATGGACGTACTCACGCACTGAATGAGGACATCCAGTGTCAGCGAAATCCAAATAGGGAAGAATTGAGTCAATAAAAAAGGTGCTCTGTGTGTTTAAGTAGGCGCTCAACCTTAAATCTACTATAGGTAATAAGATATTGCTAATACTCTCTGGTGGGTGTTTGTGTGTGAAAAATGCAAAAACAAATACAAACACACTAATTTTGGCCAGGGTTTTGTGGCTACTAAAAAAGACTGGACATAACCAATTTGCAATACCTTGTCTACTTTTGCAAATAGTTTGCCATCATGGGGGAAATTCTCATTCCTTGGCCACCATATGTACAAAAGATAGTATAGTTGCAAACATATACCAGTGAGGGCACCACAATCACAAAAGTGCATATATAGTTACCATCCAGTTCGTTGGGTTAGGCATGTAATAAAAACAAAACAGAACATATACATAGTGAAGTATTTAACCCATTAACGCCGTTTGTAAAAAATAAAAAAAAGTTAAAAAAAAAATTTAACATTGTGATCAGCCTGTTTAGGGATTTTAGTACATTTGTACTATTATTATTTTTATTTTTTTTTAGGGTCAAAAATATTTTTAAATTTTTTTTTACCCTTTGTCAGCCGCAGCAACCCAAATCACCTTTAACATAGAAACATAGAATGTGACGGCAGATAAGAACCATTCGGCCCATCTAGTCTGCCCAATTTTCTAAATACTTTCATTAGTCCCTGGCCTTATCTTATAGTTAGGATAGCCTTATGCCTATCCCATGCATGCTTAAACTCCTTTACTGTGCTAACCTCTACCACTTCAGCTGGAAGCCTATTCCATGCATCCACTTTACTCAGTAAAGTAATTCTTCCTGATTAGTGATGTCCCGAACGGTTCGCCGCGAACGGTTCACCACGGACTCATCATTGAGTAAACTTTGACCCTGTCAAACCCTGTCAGCAGCAGACCCTCCCTCCCAGACCCTCCCACCTCCTGGACAGCTCACTAAGAATGCAGCTTCACAATGAATGTAAAATGGATGCTGTCCAAGAGGTGGGAGGGTCTGGGAGGGAGGGTCTGCTGCTGATTGGCTTGAATGTGTCTGCTGACTGTGAGGTACAGGGTCAAAGTTTACTCAATGATGAGTCTGTGGCGAACCGTTCGTGTCGAACCGTTCGCGAACCCTTCGGTGAACCGTATATTGTTTGGGCCATTGTGTGCGAACCGGGACCACCCTGACAACAAGTCATTAGGTTGTGGTTAACCTCAGACCGCAACCTCCCGGGCAGTTAATTGTCGGCACATGCTTGCAGCGGGGTGGTCGGCTGTTCGTTAGTTCATTCAGCGTTTTCGAGGTCACTGGGGTTATTTGGCGGCACACGCCATGGGCTGGGTGGTTGGTCATTCGTATATACGAACGGCTGGTAGATGGGGTTCGTGTTAAACAAAGTAGCAAAAAGGGAACAAAATAACTGTACGTATCCAAATAGAGGGGATCTCTGTAACAGAGAGAGAGGGCTAAAAGGGGGGCAGAGGAAAAAGAAGGAGATGGAACCAGAGAGGTGGGGGGGACCAGAGAGAAACCAAAGAGGAAGTGGTCTCCCCAAGAGAGGACCAGGAGTACACCACAAGGAAGGGGAAACAGTGGACAGATGCAGGGGGAAACAGTGAACAGATGCGGGGGGGGGGGAGTGGGGCCACCGGCCTTCCCAAGGATCCAGAGGACACACCATAACCGGGGAGGACCCCCTCCACCCCCCAACATCAGCACAGCTGTGCCCTACTTGGCCTCATGGGGCCCACTCACCACCGCCGGCCCAGATGCAGGTTCGCTCACTGTGAGGCTCCTGGGAAGGCCTCCCAGACACCCCAGACTTTCCGGGCTGTGCAGGCCGTCTTCTCATGCCCCCGGCCCACTGTCCATAGCTGGGGGTAAGAGAGAAACCACTGGGGGAGCAGGCCGCGTATCAGATGGGGCAGACACGCGGGCCTGGCGGCGCCTTGGGTGCTGGATCAGGCTCCTATACCGGGCCTGAGATGCTGAATCCGGATCCAGGAAGCAAGCGGCCAGGAGTCGCTGTAGCCGCGTGGGAGGCCCCAGCAGAGGCCTGGCCGTTGGGGGTGACAATTGTTCAGGAAGGTGCCTGCTATCATCCAGGGCAGCTGCAGCTCTGAGGGCAGCAGAATTGAATCCACACCCATCCTCAAGCAGGTAAAATCAACAGGCCCAGGACAAACAGAAGCAACAGAGTCAGGGTAAGTTGTTTGCTGGCCTGTCTCCCAAGAGGCACTGAGGTAAGATGATCCCTACACCAATCCCAAACACATAACCACGCCTATATACACATACAACCAATCACAAGCATTTATCCCCACACTCATACATGTGCCCTTGTCCGCTTAGCTGCACTATCTCCCCAGGGCCTGAGAGCTCCAAGCCACAGCCCCAGAAAATACACCAACCAAATAACTGTAAAATATATATATTAAATAGGGTGTGAAATAAAGATTAGAGGCAGTGCACGTATTTCCCAGCCTATTTAATAAAGCTGATCTTTTGTCCAAAAACGTTTGATGTGAACTGATTAGGAATTGTGGCAAAAATTAAGGGGCTTGGTTGCCAGCCTCCTACCCTGGGACTATGGGCCCTGTGATAAACCATGTTAAAAAGTAGTGTTTCTGCCCCTTGGACTTTTAACTGAAACAGATCCGAACACATGGCGACGGCCATCTTAAATTGTCGAATGGCCAGTGTTTTGTCGAGTGTATGGAACTGTTTTGGGCATGGGACCATGTGCATGGTGGGTCAAAAGAAACTTCCAGGTATTTCCTGAACCCCTGATCTGATCTGGGTGATTTTTGGATATGTTCTTCACCCAGATCAGGGCTCTCCGTGGATATTTATGGGGATGTGTGTTGTTTTGGGGTGTTTTTCAGACTTTGTAAAAATGTATGTTTTTTCTGCTTAGAGTTAATTGAGTTAGTCCATTGTCTTCGTTAATTATATAATAGGCAGAGGGGACGGATTGTGTACACTGTATGGGAGTGACTGAATGTAAAACTATGTTTTTATTGGCTTGTTGTTCCTGTGTCCCTGTGCCCCACAAGGTCCACCTGGGTGGTAACCTTGTGGGGAAAACTGCATAAAAGGCAATGTGCCACAATACATTTTCAGTTTCTATT